TCAGTTTCATATTTGAATTTACCTAGTTAAAATACTACTCGGTCAAAACTAAGTAGTTACAAATATTGAATAAAAAAATAAATAAACTATTCTTTCTCTACTTCTTGTTCTTCATTTTCTTTTGGTTCTTTGATTTCTTTTTCTTCATCAGATTCTTTGATTTCATATTGTAATTCTTCAATATATGTTTTCAACTGATTAATTAAAAAATCATTTCCTTTTTGTGGTCTACTTAAAACCTTTTCTTTAAAATCTCGAGCTTCATAATAATTTAAATGTTTTCTATTTCTTGGAAGTTTTGTTTCAATTTCATTATATATAGATGCAACTATTTTTTTATACAAAAGAGTATTTTGCAAATATTCAAAATGTTTATTTTTATCTAGAAATGCTATTACATATGCTCGTTGCTCAACATCATTAGAAAGTCTCTAATTTGTAAAACTTAATAAACTAAGCAATTCTTGTTCAGGAGTTGTTTTTTGCTTTTTCTTGTTTTTTTCTTTTTGATAAATTTGTTTACGTTTAGTTGCCATTTTGTTAATTATATATTTAAAATTCTAATTAGTATTATATACTGATTAGATTATATTCTTGAAAATTCTAACTACTACAATAATAAATATAATAAAAAAAATCTTGAACAATTTATCATAACAAATGTGAAACTGTTTCTATAATACATGTTTCATTAACTTTTCTTAAGATTCTTCGATACTCAGATTTGTTGTATCAATTTCTTTTGATACTTTTTTCGCTTCTTCAATAAGATTAAAAGATTTTAAGTCTCGATAAGAAAGATCAAGTAATACTTCTTCTGTAGTTAAATTCATCTGTTGTGACTTTCTCATCACACGTGTTTCTAAATTTGTAGTAATCACAATTTTTACTTCTGCATCTGGAAGAATATTTGTTGTAGCATCTCGTCCTGTCACAATAAATCCTTTTTTAATAGTTAAATTTCTTATAAATTCAAATTCAATTTAATCTCATTATTCAACTTAACTAATCACAAAATTGATAATTTTCGCTTATATAGTAGAGCTCATACTACTTCTGAACTAGTGTATTTATAAAAATAAAAATATAATTTGCAGAATCCTCTTAACATGCTCTATAACGATATACTGTTAAAATTTTAATTTCTTCATAATATTTGTTGAGTTTTAGTAGCTAATGTTAAAAGGAACCCAAAAATTATATTTTTATTTTATAGACATACTAGTTCCGAAGTAGAAATTACTATCTAAACAATATGCAAAATTATGCAGTAATTTAATGATAGAATTATTAATATTTTTGATAAATTTTTGATAAAATTATCATATTAATACATATTATAATAAAATCATCAATATTTAGATTTATTATAGTTATTTTTGTATATAATAACAAAATTATATTAATTAATTTAAAAACTTTTAATAAATTTGAATTAAACTAAATAACTATTTTCAAATATATTATATTATATAATAAGATTCGATAAATTCAAATTATTATTATTAACCAAAAAGTATATATATTAGTAAAATCTAAGCTAATTAATAAGTCTAATTTTAAAAATCTTATTTGTCTTGTTTTTAATAGAAAATTATATTTGCGAAATTATTCCTTCGATTTGTGAAAAACCTACAATTAATGTTTATAGTTTTATTATAGTAAAGGATAAAAATAAAAGAGATCTTTATTACTGGTATTGTGAAAAGTATGATACTTTCAAATGTAATGAGCATTCTGCTACTATACTAGTTAGAGGAGAACATATTTTGTGACAAGCAGGAGAGCATAATCATGCAGCTGATGCAAGCTGAGCTAGTATTAGAAAATTAACTAATCAAATAAAAGAATATGCAAAACAAATACTTAGTCCTCTATCACAAATTATTCAATCTGTTATTGCAAATAACCCTCAAAATATTTATCCATATATTCCATCTTATAATGCACTTTGCCAAACAATATGAAGAGTTCGACATTTAGGCCTTCCTTCAGGATCAAATTCATTAAATGAATTTGTTATTTCTGATAATTTAAAAAAAACTTTAGATGGCTCAGACTTCTTAATCAAAGATTCAGTTATTAGTAGTAAAAGAATTTTACTTTTTACTACAGTTTCAAATATTTAATATTTAAGCCAATTTTTAGTTTGGCTAATAGATGGAACTTTTGACACGGTACTGACTATTTTTTAGCAATTATATACGATTCATAGGTTTGTTGGAGGGGATAGTAATTCCAGAATTCTGCCTTTTGTATATGTCTTGATGTCTAGTAAGTCAGAAATTTGTTATAATAGACTATTTTAAGACTTAGTAGACTTTAGTGAAGACCATGATATTCATTTACAACCTGAATTTGTTTTGACGGATTTTGAGCTTGCTTCTATAAATGCATTACAAAAAGGTATTTATTATATTAAAAGTTACTCTCGTTATAGTGAAGTGATCGAGCTAAGAGAAAAAATCTTCACTATAGCTTATATCGAGAGAATACTATATAAACTTTATTATATCAAGCAAAGAGTTAATAATAATAGTTATGAATTTGAAAATTTTTATTTACTATATTAAGATCTTCACTATATCAAGAGTTCACTATAATGAGTAACTTGTATTTTAATATATACTAGGTGCTTTATAATTTCTAGTACATAGTTATTTTTTTTTAAAATAACTTTATACAAGTCACTCTTGTTATAGTGAACTCTCGATATAGTGAAGATCTTGGAATTGTTTTTAAATTCACTGTATTATTATTAATACTTCACTCGATATAATAAAGTTTATATAATATTCTTGTGATATAAGCTATAGTGAAGATTTTTTTTATCAGCTCGATTACTCACTATAATGAGAGTAACTTGTATATAGAGAATTATTATATATAAAAAGCTTCTTTTTTTTTTTTTAACTCTCTAGTATAAACATCACAAAATGCTATATAAAAAGCTTCTTAAAAAAGGAAATTATGTATTAGGACTTTTAAAATACTCAGTAGTTTATACAATATTAACTAATATATATATATATATATATATATATATATTATATTTAGAATTTTCTGGTACTCAAAGCAAAGGGTGTTTCTTTCATTTGTCCTAGAGTGTTTATCGAAGAGTTCAAGCTGCTCATCTAGCTGATCGGTATGGAGATGATGAAGATTTTAGTATAGAAATTCACAAAATTCCTACACTTGCTTTTCTGCTTTCAGATGAAATCTCTAATGCTTTTAATGAGTTAAAAGGCAATATCAATATTCTAGAGAAAGCAAATTCAATTATTGAATAGTTTGAAAAAACTATATTCGTCGCCAAGTAAGATGAGTATCTAAAAATGAGCATGTGACTTGGAGAACTCTATTATTTCTGCCTTTTCTCTGGTCAGTTTATAAAAATAATGAATATGATTTTTCTAGAACTAATAATTCTGTTGAGGCCTAGTATAGAAGGTGAGCAACTCTAATTGGCTTGAAAAATTTAAATATCTTTAAATTTATTTAAAAAATTTAAAAAGAACAACATCGAGTCTAACTTGATATAGAAGCTATTTTAAGAAGGGCGCCAAGGCCTTCTCAAAGAAGACAAAATAAAGAATGTGAATCATGAATTCAGGCAGTATTAGATAATCATAATAATATGTCACTAATAGACTTTCTTCGAGGAATTGCTCACAATCTTTTATTATAGATAATATATATTAATTTTATTATTGTATCTGGTTAACTGTTTTAAGTTATCTGAATTATAAAATTGACTAATAGATTATACAATTAGAATATTTAAGAGATAACTTATATGTACGTATTAGAATAATAATAGAATAAAATATTTACAATAATTTGTTATACGTATATAGTACGTATTAGTTAATCATTGTGTTAGATTAAATATTACTATTTCATAGTAATTTGCTAATACTGACAAATTATTTTTTAAATTGCACTATAACCTTAACAATAATGACTAAAAAATACTTTTTTGTGAAATGTGCTGTTGGTAAAATATACTGTTTACAAATAAACTTATCTGTAAAATAATTAGCTTTTTTATACTAATACTCTTTAAATAATCAGTCTACTATATATGTAATTTGATTAATTAATACAATATATATTAGATATTGTTTAGCTAATATATAGATTATAAAGTAGCCGTAACTTATAATGATATATTCTAATGCTAATTACATAATATCTAGATATCAACACTCTCTCTTCGATGATCATTTGAACCAAATTTTTCAAAAAGCTGAACTACAGAAAAATGATATAATTAATATATTAATCTTTATAAAAACCTTACTAGAGTACTGTACTCACATAGTTGAACATTGAAATAGAGTTAAAAAAGAAGTTGCAGCTTTGTGAATCAGTTTAAAGCACTCTAGGACTATAGAAGAAGTAGTTGTGAAAGCTAAACGTTCTTTATATCAAGCAAACAACAAAGTTAGATATATTATTTCTATACAACTGTAAAACCTACAAGGAATACCAACAAAGGTTAAGGACTCACAAAAGCCAAAAGTTTGGTTTACCTATTGCCCTTTCTTTTCTTCGAGGATTTTGTAAAAAGTGGGCGATTTAGTTTACCTCTTCCTAAAAATCGACACATAAAATTTCCAAAACAGTCAGCAGTGTTTACTTCCTAAACGGGTTTGTTAATAGCTTAGCTCAAAAACAAAATAGTAATACAAACACGACTATACACATGCCTTGAAGATACTAGAACTCGAAAATACTGCTTCTGGACTAACTGGTGACATATTCTGACCCTTTACGATCAAGTCAAAGATTTTTTTATCCTATATAGTTTTTTATTAAATATTCTAATTAAATAAGAAGATAGTAGAGTTATTCTTATTTAG